CATAATAATCATATACATTGTATATTGACAAAATAAAAATTAAAAAAAAAAAAAAAAGAAGAGATTTAGGATGCTTTAGGCATGAAGGAATGGTGATGAAAAATGACATGATTAGTGAGGAAAAGGAGCAGACCCTTTATAAATGGAAATTCTGGATAATAAGGTTCAGATGAGCCCAACCAAGACTCAGAGCTCAGCCAACAATCATGTGAGATTGAGCAAGAAAGATATTTAACTTTCGCAAGTTCCAGTTTACTTATTTGTAAATTGGTAGCTAGGTTTTGCTGTTTCACAAGGTTATTGTGGGGATCGAATGAGTCGGCATGATTCTGATATAGGCGGGCAGACATAGGCATTAGGAAATAGGGTACAAATTGGGATATACATTATGGTTTAAACAATAAAGGAAAAATACTGGAAGGAAATATAACCAAGTTAACCATACTTGCATTAGAATGATAGGACTATGAGTGATCTTCCCCCACCCAACCCCACTTTCTTCATATTCCAAATCATCATTGAAGGACATATTAATTAAACATTCATTTTATTCAACAATTATCCTAGTTGCTGAGAAAAATAGAGTGAATGAAAAGAAACAAGGTTTGATCTCTCGAGGAGTTTATGTTTTAGTGGACAGGGTCAGACAGAAAACAATATAGATACTTAAGATAACTTCAAATAATAATTGCTACCATAGTGGTATAGTGCTGGAGTCAGGTGTTGCTTCCAGATAGAAGGGTCAGGGGAGGACTCTATGAGTAAAGATTTACATGATGGACAGGTGCCAAGATCTAACTGCTGATTTGGGGGAGAATGTTATAGGGTGGGACAGGCAGCTGCAGAATGAGCTGGATGTGTTCAAGGGACCAAAGGAGAGTGTGGCTGGAACACAGTGAGCAAGGAGGAGAGTGGTGGGACATGAGATCAGAAAGATACACAAAAGCCAGATCACAAAGGACTTTGGAAACCAAGGTGAAGAAAGTGGATTTTATTCTCAGTGCAATGGCAAGACATTGGGATATTTTAAACAGAGAGATGAAAAGATCTGCTTTACATTTTAAAATAATATTGTATATATGTGTACAGATACATATACATAAATGTATCTATACCTATATCCATATACATAATAAAATTGAACTGCTAGGTGACAAAGTGAACTCAGTTTCCTTATTTTTAAATTGGCAATAACATATATATATATGCATATATATAACGATACATATATATACTGCATATAAAAATTGTATATGTATATATAATAAAGTTTAATTGCTAGATGATAAAATGAACTCCATCATGATTTCATGCCATTACATGATCGGCCAGGTCTAATTACTGGGGAAAAATAATGAGATCACTGTGTGCACAGTCACATGTGTTCTTTCCAGCATTAGATATTTTAAAAGAGCGAGCAGTTTGGCATCATCAGTCTAAGCTTTCTCTCGTATGTCTGATAATTGGTAACATATTCAAATAGCATTTAGCAAGTTCTGCACAATGGGCTGAAGACAAACTGTCAATTGGAAACACCAGTTTTCTGAATACCAATAGCTTAATTTGCTATGTTATTTTCTTTTGGGTTTTATTTTTATTTTATTCAAGAATAAAAAAGAGCAGTGTTGCATATGAAAATTAGAATGCTAAGGAGAAAATTTGCAAATGTCGAGCTGTGTGGATTTTGCTACAGAGTATTTCAAAATTAATATTTGTACTTCTCTTCCTGGCAGCACATATTTCTAAGAAATAATGAGCTGAACTCTCTTGAGTGAACGAATCCCCAGCAGAGTGATTTTGGCACTTGAGAGGCACGTTAACTACTTTAAGTCCCAAAAGCTTCATCACTGACTTCATTATTCCTTTGGAGCACTCTCCAGAATCTGCTCCCAGCAATTCAGAGGCACAATGGAAGAGCAAGATGTTTTCTTCCTGCCTTTCGGTGCCTAAAACAATAGATTTCTGAAATACTGTGAGCTTTCAGTGCTTCCCAGAAAGTGGGATATTCCTTTGTGAAAAACACATATGAGTAGAATTTGATGTCAGTTTTAAAGAGTCTAATCTGTCTTCAGTGTCTGCAAAGATAAATACTTACCTTAAGCAACATAAAGCATATTCCCATCTCCATACAGAGCGTTAATATCCACACACTCTTCTTTCTACAAAAGGAAGGATGACCAGCATTAACACTAACAGTGTTAGAGAGAAAAACATAATTGACCTTACTCTCCCTTCGTTCTCTTTCCATCAGAAACAAGAACTTTCAAGAAAAGTCTGTCAAGGTGTTATCTTCCTTGGTCTTTGTTCTGTTTTTTTTTTTTTTTTTTAAAACCATTATTATTTCTTGATCATTCAAAAAGAAGCATCAAAAAGCTACTTTTGACAGTTTCCATTGGAATAAAAAAGATATGACACATTTTTCTACATTTCATCCTCAAAAATTATCCCTTTGAAAGGAAATGATACCATTTTCAAAGGGCTGTGATTTTGTACCTCCTTGGATGTAGGTATCAGTGACTTTTCAATAGATATTTCATACAGAGTACATGTGAAGAATTTCAAAGGGATTCAGAAAAAATAAATGATACCCTTCAGAAAAAATAAATGATACCCTTCATTAAGTGGCTTATAGTTTTATTGTGTTAAGAAGGACAAGTAGAACTCAAATTACTTAAGAATCCTTAGAAGTAACATAGCAGTTTAAGAGTTCAGGCTCTTGAACCAGCCAGTCTTGTATTCAAATCCTTACCCTTACTTATACTTTCCAGCTGTGTGATACACTTACCTCTAGGAACCTCAAAAATCTCTGTGAAACAAAAATAACACTAGTAATTATCTCCTAGCATTACTATGAGGATGGGTAAGATAATGAGTCTGCATATAAAGCATTTAGCTTGATGCTAGGGCCCCAAATAAATTTAAAAAGGAATAAATAGGGGCTGGCTGGTTAGCTCAGTTGGTTAGAGCATGGTGTTATAACACCAAGGTCAAGGGTTCAGACCCCCTATACGAGCCAGCCTCCAAACCAAAACAAAAAGCTGTAACTATTATTTTTTGGTAAACACAAGGAGAATAATTGCTAGGTCAAACAAGTTTTTTTAAATGACCTTTGGGAATTATATTAAACACTTTATATTCACAAATTATAAATATGTACTGTTTTCATTTCTCTTAATAGGCATTTTGAGTTGTTGTTTGGCATACAATGTTGGTCTCCCAGAAGCAAAAATATTTTCTGGTCCTTCAAGTGAACAGTTTGGCTATGCGGTACAGCAGTTCATAAATCCAAAAGGCAACTGGTAAGAATATTCTCTTCTTTATGATTTCAGTAAAAATAGTAAATAAATTTTATATTTAACTCCAATTGCTTTTTCAAATTGGTGCATGACTATCAATGGGTAGCTTTCAAATTTCCTTAAATGAAGGATCTTTCTTTGAGAGTTGACAACTGCATATTAGTAATTAATGGGATAGGATAATGCTACTTTTTAAAAAACCTGGATAGAAAATTTTCTCTAAATGTTCCATAGCAAATTTATAACAACAGTTTTGACCATTTAATACATAGGTAGGTAGATAGACAGGTGGATAGGTAGATGATAGAGATATTGTCTTCATTTCTTTTCAAGTAGACTGATATTCAGTGATCTGTTGAAATCGTCACCTAGCAAATGCTGTCCCTGGTCCACTTCTAGATGGTATAATTATTCCCCAAATTTTCTCCTTCAGCAAGGCTGTGTCTATTCATTTCATTCTATGGTCCTCTCAAGCATCAATACAAAATCTACAAAAGTGACTTTCTCTAGTATATTTAGCACCTTTTATTTTTTGCCCCAAAGTGCCCCCAGTCTTTTAATGCTGTGTGATGGTTACATTTATAAACCATGGCCATTCTACCCAGGTGAAAAACAACCACCCTGGTGAAAATGGAAATATCCAAATATATCCCCATTGCTGGCTTAAGTTTCCCATAATAACAATGCATATAAACTCAAGGAAATGAGATGATTCTGAAAGTTGTATTTAGGAAGAAGAGCTGTAGCTCCTCTTCTGCCAGAGTTGAGGCCCACTCGTGGACAAAGGTGCTGCCATTGGAAGCTTATCTCCTTGTTGGAATAGAAGGTTCCAGACCATCTCCACTTACAATCGAGTATCAGATACTGGAACATTGCCTTCTAGAGCTCTTTACAATGATTAAATGGGCTATTGTTGGCTTATCAAATTAGAGCTATAATTCATAAACCTTTTTTCTGTGTGAATTTGTTTGATGCTCTAAACAGTTGAATTCAAAGAAACATTTAGAATCCAAATTATTCACATGGTGAGGCATTCCTGTCTTTGTGATGAGGAACCAGAATGAAATTATCATGAGAGAGGGCAGTGTGTCTCAGCAATTCATGAGCTAAGTTTTATGTGATGCAGATGAATAGGCTCGAGATGATCATTAACTAATGTGAGGAGACTTGGAAAGCAATGCATATTGGAGACAGTTTGTCACTCTCTGGAAGGATGAGAACAGTCTGGTTAGATACCCAAAGATTAGCAATTACTATAGTCATTTGGGATATGAGAGAGAGATGCATGTCTAACAGTTATCAAATTATGCTTTGATAATCATACAGTTGTAAGGAGGCTGGAAAGAATATATGGTCAGCATATTTTGACCTTGGAATCCAGCAGATGAAGTTGCTAATGACCCACAATTTTACATATCTAATGCGAATTCTTTCCCCCAAACTCCCTTGTCAGACAATCCATTCAACATCTCCACATTAGTGCCTAATAGACATACCACACTTAACTGAGAGAACACAAGTATCTGATTTTCTGCAGCAGCTAATGAGGCCAAAAATCCTTGACTACTCTTTCTCCCTCCTCCCTTGTATCTTACCATAAGCCAGTACTGTTGACCCTATCACCAAAATGCATGTTACATCTGTCCATTTCTCACCGTCTCTCCTGCTGCTGCCCCGATGGAAGCCAACACTAGATCATGTAAGTGCAGCTGCAACAGCTTCTCACCCTGTCCCCTGCTTCCCATCTTACGCCTCTTTATTCTGTTCTCCTTGCCATAGCCATGTGATCTTTCAAAAACACAATTGACTCCCTAGATTAAAACCTTCTGTGGCTTTCCAGTGCAATTAGTATAAACTAAAATTCTTTGAAGGATCTGGTTTTAGCCTGCCTGTCCTATACCATCTTTTACCTTTTCTCCTTTATTTTCTATGCTCCGGCGATTATGTCTTTTCTCTGTTTCTTGAACGTGCCAAGCTCATTCCTGCTTCAAAACATTTGCTCATCCTTTCTCTTGCTTGGAAGAGTCTTCCCCAAGCTCTTCACTTAGCTGATTGGTTGTCATCTTTCAGTCTCAGCTCAAATGTCTCCACCTTATAGACCTTTCAGTACAAACCCATCTATATAGCCCTTTACCACCCCTCCTGGTCACTCTAGCCTTGTATGTGGATTTGTTTTCAGTCTAGCAGTTATTACTATCTGAAATGATCTTTATTTGTTTATGGGTTCATTCTCTGTGTTCTACCTTTGTCTCTGAGTATGGGAACATTGTTTTGTTCACTGCTGTGTCCTCAGCACCTATAGTGGTAACTGGCACTGCATAGGGGTCAGTTATTATTTGTTGAATGACTGAATGATAATTCTACTTCCAAATGATTCACACAAGGTACTCTACAAAGTGAACTATAGTAGACTGACTTAGGAAGTATGAGCGAAACAAGACTTTCAGATGGACTCCAGTGGTCTGCTTTATAGATGTAGCCTAGCTGAGGACAACCTGGCACTGAGTTTTAGGTTATTCTTTTTAAGCAATAGCTTTCCTGGGAGAGGGTAAATCGAAGAGAGAGCCACCATTGGTAATAGATGTTAGTAGAGAAGATAAGCTTATCAATAATTGTAGGAAAATCAACCACTGGCCATGGAGCAGGTTGGAAATTGAATAAGACTAAAAGGGGCAGAGTTGACAGGAACCTCTCAAGCAGAGTCCTGGGAAAGAGAGAAGCAGCCATATCTCCTTCTCTCTCCAGGATTCCCTCTAAGTATTCAAGACATTGATAAAAGACAAGTCTATTAGCAATTTGTCGTGAGATTCTAGTGCTGATAATGTGATGTGAAGACCAGGGACTCCAGACATTTCTAAACCCTGCCTTGGCCTTCTCATAGCATTCCTGAGATATAAACACAGGACAGTGGCTGTTGGGAAACAAGGCACTGCTCACTTACTGGCTGGGCTAGGGTTTTGAACACCAGGATAGAGCTTTCTAGTAAAGTGTAGGATTAAGCTCAGGCTCAAGGTAATTCCCTCCAGCCTGTGTCTTAAGCACCAGCTGGTCGGAGCATTCTGCACCACACAGAGGAAGAGAAGGGAGAGCCCCTGTGTCACCTGAGGGACTGACCCATAAGAGGGGAGAAGTAGGAAGGAAAGAGAACAAAAGCTGGCCAGGCTGCTGCTCTGGGTGCTTTCACTGATCTGGTCTCATGAAGCAAAGAAGCAGAAGAGGCCCACCCATGGGCAGGATCTTCTCCTCCACTGCAGGCTGGACACTCCATGAGATGCAGAAAGTACAAAGCAGACCTTAATTTTAAGGAATGTAAAATAAAGTCAATGAGGGAGATTTGTACGCAGAGTAGGCCACCGTGAATAACACTGGCACTGAGTAGGGGGTCAGTAGTTAAGAAGATACAACTAAGCGCATGGTGTCTGTGTTCTTTTCATGTCCCTAGCTCTATTAACTTAATATTAAGAGCTCATTTTCTCTTTCCAAGCCCTGGGACACTAGAGGGACAAATTTCCTCAGGACCTCACTCATTAGCCAGGCTCTGCCAGGGTGCCTTGTCACAGAGGGCAGTGCTGTGGCCAGGACCCAGCTGAGTGGGTTACCCCATTCCAGCACTCAAGTGGCCACAGCAGGACGAGCAGCCTTCACAACTCTCAGTTCAAGGGAAATAATGTGAAATTTGGAATCCACAACTGCCCATTTGTTTTGACAATTGGCCCCGTGCACTTCTCCACTCCTAATTTATGACAAAAGCACAGATATTATGGAAGTAGCAGATGTGAGAAGGACTGTTTAAACGTTAACTTTCCTTCTGATACTGATCAAGTTAACTTTGGGCACAAAAAGTGGTATTACTAGGAATTCTTTTAATAAACTGTGAGTCTTTCTCCCTTGGACTTATACATGTAATACAAGCACGCATGCACGCAGACACACACACGTATTTCCTTATTTTCTTTACTCTCTTACTACTGCCTATTGTGAAGCTGCCATTCAGATACCTTTTTCCTCTGCATACTCTGACTTTCTTTTCAATCTATGTGAGCCCTGACTCCATCTCTCAGTCCTTTCATTCCCTCTAACAACTCACTTAAGGCTGTAGTCTGAATTTTCTTAAATCACACTTCATTGTTTTTAAAGTACAATTTTAGCTGTTCCATGTTTCTAAGAATTTTTAGGGATATTTTACTTCAGGATCTATCAGATTTTAACAAAGTACTTTTGACTCTTTCGCTAGTTTTATGTATCATATTTTTATTATACTGTAGACTTCTACTGTAGAAATAATGGTGATATGGCTTTGATAGTTCTTGAACCTCTTTTTTATTTTTTACTTTAACATTTACTTGTTCATATTTGTGGGGTACAGTGTGTTATTTCTTGCTTATACTGCACAATGAGTCACTTAGTGTAGACAGCGCAGTTGTGTACCCATTAGTCCACCACTTCCCCTCTCCCCACCCGCCTCCCCTCCTGGGCTCTGGTAACCACTATTCTACTCTCTACTTCTATGAGAACCACTTTGTTGTTGTCGTTATTACATATATGCGTGAGACTGTGCAGTATTTATCTTTCTGTGTCTGACTTACTTCACTTAACACAATGGTTTCCAGTTTCATCCATGTTGCTGCAAATGATGCAATATCATTTCTTTTAATAGCTGAATACTATTCCATTTTGTACAAATACCACAGTTTTTTCATCCATTGATAGGCATTTCAGTTAATTCTATCTCTTGGCTATTGTGAATAGTGCTGTGATGAACACTGGAGTGCAGGTGTCTTTTTGATATATTGATTTAATTTCCTTTGGGTATATACCCAGTAGTGGGATAGCTGGGTCATAAGGTAGATCTATTTTTAGTTTCCTGAGGAACCTTCATACTGTTTTCCATAGTGGCTGTAGCAGTTTACATCCCACCAAGGACATAGGAGGGGGTTCCCTTTTCTCTGCATACTTACCAGCCTTTTTAACAGGCTTAAGTGAGCTGGGTAATTTTAAAAGCA